ATAATCAAATATGTCCCCAAGAGAATTAAAAAACATATACATGAATGTTTACATCAGAACTGGCCTGGGAGTCGGCATCCCAATTGTCCCAAACATCCATGTGATGTTAGGTCAGTTTCTTTCCTTATCTGGTCCTTAATTTCCTTCTCTATAATACAGGTATATTTGGACATGAAGGGGAAGGCTGGTACAAGGTGTGAGGGGTTATTTGAAGGCCCTGACTTCCCAGAATCCTTTATTCTTTCCCCAAGCTTTATTGTCACAGAGCCTAATAATCAGTGTCCTCCTCATCATTGCTTTCCGCTCTCAGAGCACTTTTGCATACATGTCATATACTTTAGGGTAGATAGGTATCATCCCCATTTTCAGATGAAGAAATTGAACCTCAGAGTGGACTTGAGCTGGGACTCAACCCTAGATCTTCTGATTCTAGATCTGGGTTCAACCCACATTACCACACTGTTTTTGCATGTTTGGCCTCTCTCTGGAAACTCAAGAGAACAACGTCTAGCAGCCTCACCACAAGCACTGCACACCTTTTAGACAAAGCAAGGAAGGAGAGGCACAGGGACCTGGGGTTTTGATCTTTCCTTATGAACCTGTCTATTTTGGCACAGCAGCTGTCTATGCATAGGACTATGCCTGTACGTGGATCTAGACACCAGGCCCATTACATCACAAAGATATTCATACAGGTACACTTGACCTCTGCAACAGGTGATATGGGTCACTCTTTGTTACCAGGATGGTAGGGAAGCTGTACCTTTAGTTCAGGGGAGGCCTAAGAGGTCAGGACTCTGGGATTCTGTTTTTTCTCCCAAGTCCAGAAGACTTACTAGGTGAGACCTCAAGGAGGGAGGGGCAGCTCCTCAATCTTTAGTATATGGGAGGAGCGAGAAGGGAGGATAGTTCCCTGCCCTTGCTGAAGCAGAGCCTGGGAAAGGGAATAGCAGTGCAACCAGGGATTTACTCCTAAGCTCAGAGAGCTGGGCCTAAACCTCAAAGAATATCAGCGAGACCACTGCTGTCAAACCCAGTCCAGCCTTATGGGTCACAGCGCCTGGACTCCAGTGACACCACCACGAAGCTACACGGGCGGCAAGTCACCCACCCTGATTCAGTCTTATCCAAAAATGCACCTAACGACTGCTGGGTCCAGCCCAGAGGGTTGCTCGGGGGTATCTGGGACAGAAACTGAAATGCTTTAAAATGCACTTTATGAACACATGCTTTCATTCTTCCATAGCTGGCAGGCACAAAGGGCTGAAGCTTGAGCACACTTGGGGAGTGACACACTCACTCCTCTCCAGGCAGCAGGACGATGCACAGGTTGGGCAGCAAGAGGGCATGAAGCCAGACAGAAGTCTCTTCAGGAAAGGCCGGGCTGTCCTAGGGCAGGGGAGCTGCCCTAAGGCTCGCTTACACTCTTCCTTTTTCATGTGAACCACCACCATTTATCAAGCATTTACTCCAGGACAAGTGCTGTTGTGTGTGCTCAAAGAAGGCAGTGAAGAAAAGGGAAAATGGCTCTGCTGTCAGAGTTTATATTCTAGTTGTGGGAGACCAACAAGTAAACAGCATGCATGTCTGCATTGGCAGGTTCTGTGCTGAATTAAACTGGGTAATAAGGTTAGTAGTGAAGTGGGGGGTGGGGGGGTGGAGAATGCAATTTCATATAGGATGTCAGAAGGCCCTTCTGATGGGTAACAGGATGTCTGAGTAAAGACATGAAGGAAGTGAGGGGAGAGTTAAGGGGACAGCCACCTCTTAGGCCTAGGCCTGTGGACACTAGAGTTCTAGAGACAGACACACATATCCATGGCAACAGAGACAACTCCCTACCATGTTGGTTTGGTTTGTCCCCCTTCGATTTATTCTCCATTCTGTTCCCTGAGAGGGGCTGACCCTTACAGATTGCTCAGCCTTGCCATCTGCCTTTCAGTTAGGTCCAGCCAAAGGCCCCAGAGATTGAACAGGATAAAAGAGGTAGAAGATGGACAATCCCACTCTTTGCCTGGCCCCAGTTCTGACAGTGGCTGCTTTCCTCTACGCCACAATGTCCATCTGCCTTCCACAGTTCCCTCTGTAACCCATCCTCCCATCCTGCCCTTCCTGTGCCCCACAGGGTCATCCTCACCACAAAGCGCTGCAGGATTAGCCTTCCAGATGCACAGTGTACCTACCTGTGCAGGGATGTGTTGTCCACAGATGCCAGCTGGACTGCCTCTCCCACCAGGGCAGGAAGGGGGTGGGGTTTGGGCCCTAGAGACACCCACCACAGACAAAATGTGGACCACGGCCTCGCTCATCCCTCAGTGCTCCAGCTGTCAAATTATTCATCACACCAAAGGCCAGAACAGAATTTGGGGTTTGACAGCCCCTTAGGACCTCACCGCCCCCAGAGACAGAGCCTTCTCCAAGATCCAGCCCACCAAGTTCCTAGCTGAGGGAATTCAATCTACCTATCTCTAATAATTAATAGCTCATTACCCAGTTTATTTCCTTGATTGTACATTTATCACCACTGGAAAAAGCTTTTCAATGTGTAGACCTGCTTTGATTAGAAGGCTGTACACCTTGGAAACACAGAACTTGTGTTGTTCTGGGTGACAGCACCCTAGGCGCACATACACAAAAACTCAGGGCATGTTTTTGAGTAAGAAGCAACGGAAAAGAGTACGAAGCACTTCTGTTCCCTGACACTTCCACAAGGATTGTTAATTAATTGCTTGGCATTCGGGGTGGGCAGATCCTTTCAGAAGTATTGCTGATTTCTTCAGGTGTGTGGGAGCAGGAGACCCCATGTGGAGCAACCAGGACAACCTAGGGGTTGGGGAATCACTCACGTTCCCCCAAAAGTGTTTCCACTTTTCTAAAGATCCCCTACTTTTCCACTTCTAAGTGGCTAGAGCAGCATTTAGCTAACAGACAGTGTCCAGGTCTCAGGGAAGCATAGAATAAGGAGTAGGAGGGCTATGAGCTTTGGACAAAAGTTCTAAGAAGCTAAGAAGCTCCTCAGGTCTAAGACAGCAGCTGGAAACTGCCATCTGGACCTGGGGCTGGAAACTGGGGAGGCAACATCTACTACACCAAAGACCCAAAAAGTGGCTCATCTGGCCATCTCCACCAAGATACCTAGAAAGCCCTGTGGGTGAGTACTACTGGTTAGTCCTCCCCCTGCCCTGCCCCATGCCATTAAGGGGCCACAGACTAGACCCTACAACTAAGACCTAATTCGGGCCAATCAGTCTCTCTGCCTGGTCTTAACTCTTCAGCCCCAATTCTATTCCACCCTAGATACCCTCTACCCCCACCCATGTGGCATCACTGCCACCAGGGCAACCCTTTTACCCACCATCCCCCCCCCCCCCCAAAAAAACCCAAACAGCTCAGAAGTGCATCAATCGACCTTTAATGTCCAAAAGAGGCATGGATGCAGAGCATAGAAGATGTGGTGGGGTCTCAGCCCCTGCTCCAGAAATGAGGGAGAGATGAACACAAACCAGACATTTCCAACTGGCCACACAAGTCTGGGAAGGCAGGGGGAAACACAGATCTGGACAATCATAAAAAAACAAAACCTAAAACCAAGCACTCAATCTTGTGCCCACTGAAGGGTTTGATATAGGGAACTCACTCACCATCCCCGTACCCACCCTCCCCTGTCAGCATCAAAAAGAAAACTCGGCACACACTAAAGGCTTAGGGAGGGGGCATTCTCCTGCCTCCCCACGAGCCCCAAGGATGGACTTAGAAAAAAAAAGAAAAAAGAATGAGCTGGATCCCAACCACCCCCCTCCCATAGTGTCAACCCTACACATGAGAGTTTTAAATGCGATTTACAAGAATCAGCAGCTCAGTCAGCAATGACTGCCCTCCCTCCACCATCCCTGTTTGATCAACAGACAAGATTTCCCCCCACACTCTCCTTGGAATCTCCTGCCACTAGCGGCCCTGCTCCATCGCCTGATACCCAGCTTCACCACTGCAAGACTAATCCCCTCCAAAGTTCCCCCAAAGGTCCTCACAGCCCTTTATCACTTCTATCCCTACCTCCCACAAGAGGCTGCAACCACCCACAACGTCACTTTCCCTCTCCATGGAGAACCAGTTCCAGGGCAGATGGCATCATAGCCATCTCCTCATGGATAATCCTCCCAAAGCCTTCTGGGGAGCAGATAGCCATAGAGCAAGCAGTGTCTGGGCCAGATGGCCTGGGGAGTTGACAACTATCTTCAGCCCCAGAGATTTTTTAACATAAAGGCCCAATTAGAACTAACTGTGCAGCCTATCTACCCATACACCCTAGAGATTCCACACTGTCCTGCCCCTCCCTCCCCTCTACCCCAAACCAAGACACACACACACACATACATACATATACACAGAGGAGAATCAAGGGAGACATTGATTTGGTTTGATTGCTAAGACTTAACTAAGGTACTACAGTCACCAGAAATTCCCTTGCCAGCCAACTAACAGGGGCTGCTCTAAGAGAACTCCAGAGGAATGAGAAAACCAAGGGCTAAGCAGGGAGCAGACAGAAGGAGAGAAGAATGAATCGGAAAAAAAAATCAAGCTAATCCTACCTCCAACATCCTCCTAGCAGGAGCTCCAGCAGGAAGAATAAAAGAAGGTAATCCACAAAGACACAGCCCTTACTTAGAAACTCTTCTGACAAAGACAGCAAGACAAGTCTGCTCCCCACTCCCACACACCACAGACAAACACGTCTCAGGGCCCCTTAAAGAATCCACCCCCCACCCCACCCTTTGCCCCAAGCCGTGAAATCACAGTTCAGTGGAATATTCTCCCTGGTACTAGATCAATCCCCCTACCTCCTTCCTATCCCTCTCTCCCTGCCAATCCTAATGCCGCCCCCCCTGCAGCCCCCTGGCCCTCCCAAAGCAGCATCCGCTGCCAGGAGGAGGCTGCTACATTTACTTCCACCTCCAGAAACCAATTTCCTTCCCCAGCCCTCCTAGGCTTACAGACTTTGTGGAGGGCTTTTTATTTTATATAGGGAGAGAAAGAGAAGAGGGAGGAGTGGGAGAGACTTTCTAGTGCAATACAACCAAAGAAAAAAATTTTAAGTCTTGAAAAATAAACATAAAGCAGCCTTCTTCCCCAGGCAACTAAACAGAAAGAAGTTTGGTTTTGTTTACTGCGACATACACATGAAATCGAGTATACAGTCCATGCAGTAGCACAGCCATTGGAGAGGACATCCTGATGCTGGCCCCAGTGCAAAACAGTCCCAGCAACGCCGCCTGCTTGCCATCGCTGCCGCCGCCACTGACACCTTCACTGTGGCCACCTAGCCTGACTTGAAGAGGAGGATTGCAACTTGACCCAAGTAAAAATAGATGAAGTGCTTTGTCTCGTGTGTAACATAGCTGCCAAAATTTCGGCCCACGATACAATGCCAGGTAGGGTTATATTTCTTGTCAAATTCCTAAAAGAAGAATAAAAGGGAGAGAAGAAAGGTGATTAGGACAGCTGGAAGATGAGAAATCAGAATAGGAATCTGATTAATTTAGTTATCATCCCCCACCTACCCCTAGCCCATGGCCTCAGCTCCCCAAACCTCAGGAGCTCAGGTTAAGGCTGGCTAGGACACTCCTTCCTTCATTAATAATGGAACACCGCAAAGGCTCTGTTATTTCTCTCTAGCACTTTACACCCTGATCATCTCCCCTCCTCCTAGCTACCCTACTCCATAGCCCACCCTGTGATTCTTTAGGAAAGGAGTCAGGGAAGCCAGAGGCATAAACGACCACTCCAGAGTCACGCAGCATGTGGAAAACAGAAGAGCCTCCCTGACTGGACACCCATTGCCTCCCACATTATTAAACCAGCATTTCCAAATGCCAAGAAGCAAGACCCTACAGCCAAAGTCAGGAGTACCAGGAAGCAGTTCTTTGTAAGTCAACATTAAACCCATTCCTATGTGCCAGACACCGTGTGGGCTGTAAGATGCAGAACAAGGACATCGGCCATGAGATCAAGGCAATTTCCTTCACTTCTCTCAAGGGCACAAGTTCAGCACCAAAGCAACCTAGGAAATCCTTATGACCTAATCAGACAGGCAATTCCCGGTCACTCCATGTATGCAGCAGGAAACAGATGGCTGAGTAGATGCACCGGGCCATGCAGCAGCCCTCCACCATGGGCCTAGCAAAGCTGCCAACCCTGGGACTGTCCCCTAGGTGCTCAACATACAACTTGTTTGGACTCCTCACAGCCCCTATACCACAGGACTCCAAGAGGTATTAGGGAACAGTAGAAAGGGCATGGATCACCAAATCCAGACTTAATGCTGACTCTTACTCTGTGTAAGATAGGAGAGTCATAGTCACTTCCCTGGGTCTTACTTTCTCAATCAGCAAAACAAGGAACCTGGGACAGATATAATCTAAGGATTCTCCTGACCCTCAAAGTCCATAATTCCAGATTCCCTGTACAGGACAGATAAGGCCATCACTCAGCAAGGAGCTAGCACCCCCAGCAGCCTTGCTGGGTCTGCACCATTGGCTCCTTACACAGAAAGTCTCTCGGGACTCCAGAGTTTCCTCTTTACTTCCATAGAGAAGCAAAACTCTGGAAAACTTAAGGATACCCTACCACCTCTATGGACCAGAATACCACTATACTTAGACATCCTTTTTGGGATATAAGAGTTGAAAATACCAAAGACTGGATTATGTCACCAATGGACATAGATTCTAAACAAAATCAGAGACCCTGGGTACCACTTCTCACTTCTAGCTCAGCTGCTTCTTCACCATGTTAACCATATCCATTCACTCATTCACTCAGGAATTTTTCAGGGACTAAACCTATTGCCCATATTGCTCATCCAATATTATATATTCAAGCCCACCCTTTTCTTAAGAAGGTGAGGAGAAAGAGATGATATAGTACCTGTGTCCTTTTTAAAAGAAAAAGAAACCACCACATGATAGGGATTATTATAGGGATATCTCACTTTAAATGATGCAGTTCCCTGAAAATTTGTGTATGATCTTATATTATCTGTTCAAATATCCTTACCTACATTTTGAATACTTCTGAATTAATGGGGTCATATTTGATCCCAAGTTTCTCTCCCCAATGCCTTGCAATAATTATCTATAAATTATCTATTATGACATAACTATCTATACACACACACACGCGCACACACACACACACACACTTTGGCAGAGTTCCTGTTAAGAATTCCTAAGGTGAAGGCTTTGGTAAGAATCATTCCCTAATTTGTCTGCTTTGCAATCTCCTGGGTTTTGTTTACATGGGTTATACCTGCTTTCCTAAGTCCCCAGCTCAGCTGCCCATCCCCATCCCTGGCTAAAAGGCACAGCTCTCTGGGCGCACCTTCTTGATATAGGCAGCAATGTCCTTCTCTATGTTGTACTTCTCCATAGCCTGCGTGGCGCAGTCAACGGCATCCTGTTGCATGTCCTCAGACATGTCTGCGTTCTTGATCACTGCCTTCCGGTCAGACATCGTGACACTGCAGAAGAAGCAGAGAGGTGAAGCTGACAGCCCCATGCGCTAAGCAATGAGCATTAGCAGCTGAATGTGGAGCCTCAGTGGGAGAGCTGAGTACAGAGAGTGAGGGCAACAGAAAACAAAGACACGAGGTATTAATTAGGAGAAGGAGGTCCTAAGCTTTAAGCAAAGACATGGTTCCCAAGGCTGGGAAATACAAGTAGATAGTAAAAAAGACATAATTAGCCATCAGTTTTTAATCATTTGTAAAAGGAGGCTTTTCTAACTTTAAATTTATTTCTGATATTTTCAAAAGCATCAATTGCCAAGACATTACAACGTATCTATAACCTACTAGCTGTGTCCTTGGGCAAGTTACTTAACCTCTGTGCTTTCATACCATCATCTTAAAATGGAGACTCAGGGTTATCAAGGGTAAACTAGGTGGCATTAACACCTGAACACAATAAATCCTTAATTTAATGACCATTATTGCATCATTGGTATCGTAGTGGAAACAAGATGGGACTAGGAATCAGTAGGCCTGCCTTCTGGTCCTGACTATGAAGTCTTGTAGTCTAAGGACAAGTCACTTAGCCTTACTGCATACATTACTTCCATTTTAGCAATGAGGATAGCTCTCTATCCTCTATAAGGATTAATTAAGGTTAATATGAGAACACCTGCAAACAAGGACAGTCTACACTGGGGTCTGTCGGCTAGATTCAGCCCACCATCTGTTTCTGTAAATAAAGTTTTACAGAAACAGGCTACAATGGCAGAATGGAGTAGTTAGTTGCAAGAGAATGCATGGCCTATAAAGCCTAAAATATTTGCTACCTGGTCTTTCACAGAAAAAGGTTGTGAATGCCCAGTGATAGTGATAGAGCTAACAAAAGGCAAGAAATTATTAACAGTCTTTTTTCATATCTCTGCTATCTAAGCCATGGCATTCATCCTACAGCAACCAGAGTTCTGGGATACACCTTGCATGGTCCATTCCTAGAATGACAGGAACCCCGATAAAACTAGTCAGGATCCAGCTGGCAGTCTATACCATGTGAGGTGAGATGCAAGAACAGAGATGAGCTGCAAAATCCAATCTTGTCCTTGACCACAGTCCCATCACACTGACCCCCCCCCAAGAGGAATTTTGTCATCCAACCCAGTGGACAAAAGATGTCGTCATTCCAGCCCTGTCTGATATTAAGGCGGGGGTGGGGGGAGCTGCCCGCTCAAAGAGAGACCCCTGGGAATGATACCTTGATATGGGAATGATACCCTGATATGGTATCAGGCCACCCTGATCTCTGAGTCCACACTAGCCTGTGAGCTGGGTGAACTGAAAGGGAAAGCAGAACTCATGATTACTCCTTCAGCCTGCACCAGATGCAAAGAAAGCATACATGCCAGCTGCCAGCCACACAGCCCTTGACCGCACCCAAGGCCACCTCTGTCTGGCACTTTCAAACTAAGCAGGGCTGGTTCCACTTCAGCAGAGACTGGCAGAGCAAAGGGTTAGTGGACCAGCATCCTCTGCCCCACACCCGAAAGAAAAAGAGCCTCAAGGAGTCTGTGTGCACCACCTGGTGCTGAGGAAAGGTCCGGAGAACCCTGTTCAAGGCCTGACGAGCTACATGACCTTGGGCAAAACAACATCTTCATTTTAAAAACCAGTGGTTGAAATATGATATGGGGCAACTTCAAGGAGTTTGAGCAGATATACAACAGCAGCAGAGGAAGAATGTTCTGATACTATAAGGCTCTTTATATTTGAAGAAAACTAGTGTCACCTGGTACCCTATGCCAGGTTACCACTCAGAAGGGGGCACTGTTTACAAACGCGAGGGTGGGGGTGGGGCCTGGTTAGAGACTGCGAAGTTAAAGCATGAAATTGGCACCGGTTTTCCCAGCAAACTCACCTGCTCCACTGCCTCATCACCAAAGTCCAAAGGAACAACTTTGTCACAATAATTAAAAGCCACCTTACTCTCTAGTAGGAGAGAGCCTGCAGTTACATAACGTTGGGTCTTGTGACTACAATGCTACGATTCTTCACCCCTGGCCCCCCAGGCGTCTGAGAGGGGAGGCCTAGCCCCAACCTGCCCTGTCCAAGGTGCCAATGAGAAAAGGACAGGGAGGTGCCCGGCCTAACCCCTCCCTCCTGAGAAAAAAAAAGGGGACCTGGGCCTTCAGACAGAAGAATGACCAGAAGGCCCCAGGCCAGCTGCCTCAGTCAAGAGCCAGGGGATCCTGTGAAAAGCGAAGAGGGCACTCCAGGACAGCACTCCATCCTCTAACCCCGGTTTTGCAACAGAAAAGGCTAAGCCTCCGAAAGACGGACCACCCTACCCTCCCCAGCCTCCAACACACACAAACGCTTGTATTTCCTCCCTTGAGATCTCCAAGGGGGCTTATCCCTCCACCGTGCCATCCTCCAGAGAGCGGCGATCCCCAAAGGCCAGCACCTGGGGAAGGAGAAAGCATCCTCCCCCCACCTCCGCCCCGGCCGGTCAGCCGCCCTCCCCCGCCCGGCCTGGAGCAGCGCCGGAGTGACTGGGCGTCCTCGCTGCAGGAAGGACGCCCCAGAGGGTGGCGGCGGCGGCAGGAGGCGCCGCGTCACGCCCGAGCCCTCTCCACCCCCTCTCCCTCGGCCCCAAACACCAGAGGCCTCCACGCAGCGCAGAGACTGTAGGGGTGGGGGGCGGGGAGGAGGCGGGGAGCCGCACCTCCGCAGCCCAGGGCCTCCAGCCGCGCCCAGGGGTCGCCAGGACACGGGGTGGCGCAGCCCCGGGAAGGAGGGGCGCCGGGGGCGTCACGCCGAGGCCAGCCCTGCTCCGGGCCTCGGGGCTGGGCCCGACGCGTGGGCCTACACGCGACAGGTGCGGGCCGCCGCCCCGGGGACGCCCGCACCCACCGCTCACCTTCACGGAGGCTATTCTTTGCGGGGCCCCGGGGGAGCAGCGATGGCCTGAGGCAGGGCGCGGGCAGGGGCGGTGTCCCCTCGGCTCCTCCGGCAGCAGCCGCCGCCGCCGCGGTCTCCGGTTCCCGCAGCCCCGGGCCGAGCGCTCGCCGTCGCCGTCGGCCCTTCGAGCTTCCCGGCCGCCCGCGCTCCGCCTCTCGCCCGCCGACCCGCCCGCCTGCTCCGCACTGGCGCCTCACAGCTCCGCTCCGCTCTGCCGCTGAGCGCGGCCGACGCGCGGCCCCCACTGAAATAGCGCCCCGCCCCCGCCCCCCCGCCGCGCGCGCCGCCGTCCGCCCTCCCCATTGGCTGCGCCCGCCCGGCCCCGCACTGCGGGCTTCTCCCCGCGCCTCTCTCGCCCCACATCTTGTTTCCTCCCACAATGCCTCGGGGCGGAGGGAGGGGGAGCTGGAAAGGGTTGGGGGAGGGAATGTGGCCTTAAGAAGAGAAAGAAGGAGAAGAATGCAGACCCTACTACCAGGGCTAGGAGGCCAGGCCTAAAAAGGAATAAAGAGGCAAGGCTTAGACAGAGGGAGGGGTATAAAGACCCCAATCCCAAGAAGACTAAAGGAAGAGAGAGGGAAGGAGATTCAGACCCGGGGAACAGCTGGGGAAGGGGTAGAGATCCTAACCAGAGGAAGAAGAAGGGAAGGAGGTGAAGTCATCAGCCTCAGAGGAAAAGACAGGACCCCTTTCCTCCCCCCAGATCTGTAGGAAGAAGAGGAACAGCCTGCTCCACAGAGAGGTATAGGCACAAACAGCCCCAAGGGCTCCGCCTCCCCTTACATTCAGGAAAAGTCCCTTCCCCACGCAGCTCAGCCTTTGTTCCCGAGTCTCAAGGCCACAGGACCTAAACTCCCAGCTGGAGCTCCAGCTGCTCTTTATCACCAAGAGCAATGGAGGCCGACCCTAAGCACAGTTGTGAGAAGGGAGGTTGGTCTTTGGCGCGCAGGCTCCTGGGATAGAGGTGAGAATAAGGCATTTCTAGTCAGTCTAGACTGGAGGGGGAGTGACTAGAACCCCCTAGACGTGCGAACCAAAGTATGGCAGAGATGTGAGGAGCTTAAAATTCAGGCCATCCATATTTCTCACCTTACAGAGGAGAGAACCAAAGCCCTCACCAGATCACCGGCAAGTCAGGCCTGGTCTTAGCTTCTAGGCAGCAGCCCCTCTGGTGGCTGAAGGGGCTATTTGTGGGAGTGAGCCTTAATGCATGTGCCCATTGGGAGGGTGCCTGCCTTCCACTCTACCCCACCCACCTCCAGAGAACAGGAAATGTCTGCATTTTTCTTCCCTTCTGTTTCACAAAGGAAGTATCTACCTAAAGGGGTGGTGAGACTCTGTATAGGGAGCTACGCATTTAGGCCACACAGTGAGGATTAAGAAGCTCCCATTCCCATTTTCCCTTCACTGTCCCAAACCATGGTCAGGAAGTCAGACTTGCTCTGGCCCTGGTCTTCTCTGGTGAGGAGCATCATAATTTAATGTTACTTATGTGTTAGGGAAAACCTAGAAATCATGCCCTCCCATTCTGCTCGCCACAGTTCTATCATCTCCCAAACTCTGGGTATTTCAGAGAAATAGACGAGGACTGCTGTATCCCCTCACACCCAGGGTATTCTGATGTCAGCCTCTGTGTGAATGAATGGGGGGCGGGGCACATGTGGGCAGAGAGGGAGGAGATGAAGAAGGATGCTTTATCACCTCAAGGTTTGTGGAGAGCTAATCTCATGGATTACTGGGAGGAGAACTCTTACCCTCCTTCTCCAATGGTCATTAGCTTCCAGCCCCTTCTATGGTCTAAAGATCAGAACAGCCATGTATGGTTGTGCAGGTTGTTCATTGTACAATGACATTCAGCCTAAAAGGCAAGTGAGAGCTAAAATATAGCCTACACTTCACTTGCTAAACTGCGTGCCCTGGTACAAGACAATGTTCACCCAAAAGATGCGTACTTTTTTTTCAAGTGGGCACAGAGGAAACTGAACTAGTGGTGGCCCTGCCAAGGCCATACTGCTGATGTATATATAAATCCTCCCTCTCCCTGGCCTCAATGCTTAGAGTAGAGTAGGCAAGCATTTGGTCATTCCCGGTCCTGGGCTGTGGTGGGGTGGAGGTAAGGGCACAGAGTTAGAACCAGTGATTTGCTGTTAAGAAATATGAATGTCAGTGTGTGTGTGAAATATGTGTGAGAAAGACTGACTCTGTGGGATATCATGGAGACTTGCTAATAATAGTATGGTTTATAGACAATAATTAATATTTATAGAGCCCTCACTCTGCGCCAGGCTCTATTCTAAGTGTTTTAAATGTGTTGTTGCATTTAAATCTGAAACAATTACAGTGAATTTGTATTACCATCTTTCTGCACAGACGCAGAAACTACCCCTTAGAGAAGTTCAGTAACTTGCCCAAGGTTACCCAGCTTTTGTCAGTGCAGGATTCAGCCCCAGGCTGTCTGTTCCCAGGGCCTATACTCTTAGCCTTCCGCTATCCTGCCTCCTAACCGAGAAAAGAAAAAACTGTAAACCAAGGGTTTGGTTTTCTATCTGAATTATACCAGCATTTCGTAAACTTACCTTACTCCTAAGCCCTTTTTCATCCAAACGTTTATTAACGTCTCCAGGAACTACTATTCCACAGGACACAGTTTGGGAAACTTGTGCTATACTAATTACTGCTATTTATGTGAAATGCGTACTGTTTAGGGTAATTACTATGCAACACAGGAACTGCTGTAATTAATATGTCAGCTTAACTTGGTGGATCTTTTTATTTGATGCCACTACACATTCGTGATTGCCCAGTTATCTGTTGCCCGGATGATATAACCATGTCTTCAAATGTAAAAATCACAGGGGACTTTCATTCTTTCCTTATCTGTGGGCCCCCTATCCCCTGCTCCCTTCTTTAACCTAAGGGTCCCCTAGGGCCCTGATGGTCCTCCCCCCAAATCTCAGATCTGCCCACTGTGGGTGTCCCACGGGCTCCTCAGACTCTTCATATACACACATACAAAGCCTGGTCATTAGAAGCATTGGCCCTGGAAATTCTTTCCACCAGTCTACCAGCTGTGCAGATCTAGTCAAACTATTCATCATCTCAAATTTTCATTTTCCTCATCTGTAAATCAAGAACAATATCTACTTCATAGTTAGGAGAAAATACTGGAAAAACTCTTGGCATGATGCCTGGTCCATATAAGTGATTAATAAATGTTAGCCATCATCCACATTAATTTTCCAGACTTGTTTCCCTTCCCTGTATTTCTTACCTCAGTTCACAGCCCTATTATCCCCCCAGGCACCAAGTCAGAAACCTGCGAACCATGAATGTGGATGAAACTACTCCATGGCTGAGAAATATGGATTAGAAAGACACTCCATCCCTTCCTCCACCCAAAGAACTGTGTTCGAGATCTTCTCTTTCCCTAGAACCCACCATAGGTCTGTCATCACCCACCTCTTGTCTCTTTCTCCAGTCCGTGCCCCCTCTCATCATGAATACCCTGCATGGGGCACTCATCATCTCTTCTAGTTGGTTCCCTGCCCTCAATCCTGGCTCCTTCTCCCCAAATCCACACTGAAGTGTTCTGTCTAAAATGCAAATCTCCTAGGCACATCCTGCTTCCCTGCTCAGAAAAAAAGACTGCTCTTTCCCATAACTTACCTCCCCCATCTCACACCCCTACCTTATCTCCCCGCACTTTCCATCTCCCTCTTCGTGCTCTACTACCACTGTCTACTGCCTGCGGTTTTCCTCACACCCAGATTCCACACCTTTTTTCATGTGGTTCCCTTGCCTGTGAGGTTTGTGGCTTTCTTTGCTGGCTAACTCGTTGGTATGAGTGTCCTCTATGAAGCCTTCCTGAATCCCAGATGCTTTGACAACATCCAGGGCTTATCACTGACCACATTCTATTAAACTTGTGAGGCTTAAATTTGTCTGTAGTTCTTTGCAGACAGGGATTACATCTTATTTATGTATGGGCTGTAGAATCTAGCAGTTCTTGTTACATGGGAAGTTCTCTAGAAGTATTGGTTACATTGATCATTTCTATTAGGGTAGGGCCTGCGGGACTCCCACAGTGGAGAGGTCAGGACTTAGTGGGCCATCAGGGCCCACATCATGATAAAAACCATGAATGTGGATGAAACTACTCCATGGCTGAAAAATATGGATTAGAAGGACACTCCATCCCTTCCTCCACCCAAAGAACCGTATTCGGGTTTTCTCTTTCCCTAGAACCAGCAAAGCATGCTATTTACACTGGGGCCCTTCCTGCCCAGAACAAGTTGCTGGCTAAGGTAAACCATTGTCAGCACTGGGGAACACCCAGGCCTGATGTCTGAATTGATTTCCTCCTCATACTCCCTGTTGGGTATTTGGCTGATATCCTGACCCTTATAGGTAAAATAATCAAAGGTTCTTCCACCCCAGCTGACCAGGTCACTGAGAAGAAATAGAGCACGGCAATGACAAAAGTCATTTCACCAAGCCCTTGAGTTGTTGACTTGCTTCAAGGATTTCAGGAGGATGGAGAAGGGTGGGAACATACACTCTCAAACTCAGTACAGTGCAGACCCTGGTGCCAGTTCCCTCTGCCAAGTCCCCATTTCATGGGGGGGGGGGGGCGGGGGGGAGGGGGAACCTAAGGAAGAAAGCAATGTGACAAGAACGACTGGAATCTGCCCCAATTCCCCACTGATTTCTTGAGTGGCCTTGGAAAACATGTTTCCCTAGGCAACCATTTATGAAGTCCTAAATATTGCCTTTCCTCCTCCCCAAGTCCCCCAAAACCTGGAGGAGCCAGCCAAGGTCAACCATGCGCCCAAGAACTAGTGAGAACTAGAATAGGAGTCAGAGGAGAAGTCCTAAGCCCAAATTGGCTCAGTCAAATCATTTTATTCCTCAGAATATGGATTTCTTCATGTAGAAAATGTAGGACTGGATAATCAATAAGGTCCTTGTCAGCCCCCAGACTTCACAGGTCTATGATTCTCTGATTTCAATACCCCATCATAAAGGATACTTGCCCTGTGGGTCAGAGAAATTTCTCTACCTGTAGCCAAGCTTAAATACCCTCTTTTCTGATCTCTC